AAGAAAGAAAGAAAAGCACAGTGCCTTGAAAGTAAAAGAAGGAAGAGGAGGAAGGAGAGTCTACTAAATATATGCTCGGTAATATCCCTGGACAATCAGTTGTGTAGGTGAAATACAAATGGGAAAAACAGTTCTCCAGAGATGAATGTATAGTCAGGAACAAAGAGAAACCTTCTTTACTGGAGTGCGGATTTTACTGCATGGCTGGTTGAATGCACGGTAGCATTGTTAGGAGCAAGTGCACCTGTTTGAACATTTTCCTCTGCTAGAAACAGACAGGTTTGTTGAATGCTCTAATTGCTGGTAGGCATGAAAGGATCGCCTAGAAGATTGCTCCCTAGGCTGTCCTTTGATGTTTCATATGATTTGGAAGTGAAGATTTCTTTTCCTTTATCCATCTTGCTAATAGTTGAGAATAAAATACCTCATCTCCAATTTTCATTCCAGAGGGTATCATGGCACATTCTATCTGATTAGCTGTATCATTGGCCAAAAAAATCCTTTTATCTTTTGAAAAGATTTGTAAAACGCAAACATAGTCATCACAGTCCATGTTCGTAAAACACTATTAACTACAGGTTCAATTCATTGCAGGGGTCTCTTTAGGCAGGAAAGATACTCTGCAGTGAATACTATGTTTGTCAAATGCTATAAAAATGAGGCTAGACATTTTGGATATCATCCTTTTAATATAGATTATTAAACTAGAATCACAATTAAAATAGTTTATTTGTAATTCCAACTATGGTAATTTGTCAATACAATAATCCCAGTACTTAAGAAATCCAAGTTTTGTTGCACTTTTCTGCAAAATTTGAATAGCAGAGAACTGCACTGAGGTTTGATATTTTCATAATGTCCTTACTTTTACAAATCAATATAAGGCATAACTAGTGCACTGTGAAGCATTATAATAAATTTAGCTAGGCTGCCAAATAGAAACTATGTGATGTGATATCTTTTATTTCGTCAGTTTTTGTGTTTGCTGAACTTTGAAACTTTGAAACTTAGCAGAGCAAAAAAAAAAATACAATAAGCAATGGAATAAAATTCTACTTAAGTCTTGTAACAAGAAATGCCCAGCTGAAAGAAACGGATGCCCAACTGTAATATGTGTAAGCTGTCACTAACACGTTTCTCTTAACAAGGTGGACTGTTGCCAACGTACTTGGAAGTCAACATACTCAAAAGTATGTTGTTTTTTTTTCAATGGAACAGTCATCTTTGATTTATTCCAGTTTAGCTCTCAGCTATGATACATAATTCAGATTCAGACTCATTGCTTTCAAAGTTCAGGGATGCATGGAGTGTGCCTGAGTCAAAACTCAGGAACTATTTGACTTTCTAATGAACAGTTGAGAATTATTGCACAAGAAACATATATGTTAATTTCAAATCAGAAATGTCTTGTGTGAAATTTTCAAAGATAAATATTATTTTAGGCTTTATTGAAAATTAAGGAGCATGTGGTTCTTGAATCAATTGTAAAATCTGAGAAAAAAATCTTCAAAGTATTGCTTTCTGAAATATAGACAAATGGAGACATCCCTATGCAGTTTTTATATCATAATTTGCTGAATTATGAATACAGTTTCCTCCTTTTTGAGAATTGCATGCTCTTTTTTCAGACTATCTAGTTGGGGATTGAATTGTTTGGAATGTTGATACGTATTTGTCTTGATCTTTATAGCTACCATTGAGTAAACTGGTTACAGCGCCAGTGGCTGTTAAACTTCCATTGAGTTTTGACATGGTCACTGTAAATGATACCTCTTTCCCAGCTTTTTCTTTTGAGGACAAGGAATGTATGTTTTGTCTTGCGGTGTAAGCAAGGAGTATATTTACATGTCTATAGTTGTGGCCTCTAATTTTCATTCGGTTGTGATCCAATAAAGTATTTTACAGGATATGTCTGAAACATTATTTACTTGGCAAGAGGTCAGTCTGTTTTATTTTTTATTTGTGGAACCAAGTGTTTATCTGATTTCTGTATGAATCACACAGTGTGTTAGGGAACATTTGGCACTGATGTTGTATTTTAGATGTCTTTGTAATAAGTTCTGATATGTTACATTTTCCTAAGGTATTTTAAGTACAAGAAAAGTTTTAAGGCCACAATTTCCAAACTTAACATGCATATCTTTGTATATATAACTCTGTGTGTATGTATCGCTCTATGTGAAATCCACTAATTCCGATATTTTCATTAAGTAAGTAAATGTGAGGATTCTGCTGCACTTCAGGTGTTCAGAAGCATATTTCCTAATAATACTTCACCCTTGGATGCAAATAATTCAAGAGAATAAAATCTGTGAGATTATATTGTTCATACGTGGATGGCTGGGGAGGAGGCTGAGCCTTCTCTTTACCTCTTCACTCAGTGAGCAGCAGAAGTGAGCCACTTGTGACAGAAACAATCTGATGCGGCAATGGGAATAAACAAGTTCTCTTCAAAGCGGAAAAAGAAGGGATTGCAAATCGGAGTCAAAGATCTTTTTGCTTTGTTGGCTACTAGTCATTTTCTACTTAATACTATTAACGCAGAGAGGACTACTGCCTAAAAATTCTTGCTGATAACAACATATGCAGTACCTTAATTGGACAGATCTTCTCAGCGTTAATCTCCAAGTCCCTGTCTTAAGGGTTATATGTAAGCCATCTAGAAATAGTAGGAGTGACTCAGTCATTTTCATGTGGCTGTGGGTTTTGTGGTCATATAGAGGGAGAAACAGACTGTACTTGGACATATCCCTGCAGGATATTTTGCAGACCTCACTTTGATAGAGACCAACTTTTACTGGACTGTTTTCTTAGGTTTGTTCTAATTTAGCCTGGTGAAAAAGGCATAGAATAACCACAATTTTTGTATTGGATAGACATACAATTATGTCTGCTTATTTTCTTCTTGGTGGGTAGTGGTGATGTAACTGAACTATGTCTCTGCATGCTATCTCATTTTTGTATGAAGTGTTCAAAACTGCAGCAGAAACTGTACTTTAAAAAAAAGGAAGAAATTAAATGTGCAAGATTAGACTGATATGATTTTGAGAGTCTGGCAATGCAGACAAAAAACAGGAAATTCAAAGTTTAGCCTGAGCTATAGACCATCAATCAAACTGTTATGGAAGAATAACACTAATAATCAAAAAAAACACAAAGATGTGAGGTTTAAAAGGAGTGCAAATCTTAACAATACTGACCTGTTACTGTATTCTAAAGGAATGTTTTTGTATTTAATTTCCTTAGGTAGGTAAGGAGGGGGAGAAAGAGAGAGGAAAATCTTTCATGGAAGTTTAGTTAATGGGGCAGCTTTCAAAGCAAAGAGAGGCACCCCATATATTTGCCCACCCTCAAAACCTTAGTGGTGTAATTACCCATTGTTATTATATAATATGTCTTTAATCTTGGACTTTTGTGTTTGTAAAAATATATATGATTACTTCTTAACGGAGAACTCATTAAGGCAGCTCAGTACTCAGTGTTTAACCTGTTTAGCAATTAGTTCTACAGCAATGATTGTTCTGAGCTTTTAAACTCATTGGAGAGGTTTAAAATGTGGTTTAAAAAATAACTCATACATTTTACATTCATCTTTTCTGCAGCAGTAATGTGTACTTCTGGAAAATGCTTCAGTCATGTTTTCATTCGTTCTTGACAGTCGTGGGGAATAGAGTGTTACTGAAGTTCAGGGAGTTATATGAGTGCAGGAGAGGAGGCTTTCATTCAGTATTATGAAAATTGCAATAAAATTATGTGATGTGGCAGTTCTGGGTCTAGTGCTGAAATAATACATTTTTAACTCATATACATTCTTCCGAATGGCAAAGAGTTGGTGGGCTTACAGTATACCTCTGCAAGAACATTGCTGCAGACAGTGTCTTTTGACTCTCTTATCCCATACCCTCTCTCAGAGTTCTTATTTCCACCATGCTAGAGGCGACTCACAGGAGCTACTTGTTAAACTGCCTGCACAGTCTTATTCAGGACGCAGCATTAATAGCGGTCATGCTGAACATCAGGCTCACAGAATTTCACTTGTGATTCAAAAAGGGGTGACACATCCTTCGTGATACTTACGTTACTTTGACTGCTCTGCTTTGTAGTTTGGATAGTGCATTTTGTTGTAGAGGTAGCTGTTTACAATTTGGTGGCAGGAAGGAGGACAATGTATTGATGCAATTATAATGCATGTGATTAAAAGGGCTGGCTGAAAATATTTACACGAGTCTAGGAAAATGGAATTCCTAATTCTACAGAATCTTGACTGAATGTTTACAGCGTCTATTTGAAGCTATTATTCTAGTAATTATTTTATTCTCTTTGTCTGCTTTTAATGTGAAAAAGTTATGCTTCATTATGAATTTAGAGTTCTTTTTAATGGAAGTGGTTAAAGTGATCAGTGAGTCTTGGAAAATGTAATATTTGGTGTCATAGAAAAATATGATTTTACGTAGTGCTTTCAGTACTCTAGATATTACCCCAGACAAGCTCGTAAGAAAGAGGCATTCTTCCTGTTGTATTAAGCATAATCCTGTTCAGTTCTACAGTTGAAGCATAGAGGGAAGGTTGTAATTGACTAACCATTTAAGAAAGAAAACTAGGCTCCAAGGTTGATACAGTTGGCCTGTCAGTCTATAACAGCTTGGAGAAATTGGAAAGTTCTTATGACCAGGAGCAATGTTACAGGCTTACATACAAACATACCAGCATGCTACAGAAAAGTTAAGCATACCTTGTAGGTGTTTGTTTAATGTGTTATATAATTCTCTATGTATTTAACAGTTTTAATCGCATCAGTTTAACTCTCTTTATAAGCTGCTCCAAACAAGACAAAGGGGGAGGTAACTATAATAAGGATGAAAGAAAAAGAGGAAATTTAATAAATATTCATCACGTGTGTGAAATTTGTTTTTATGCTTATCTATTTTTTTTTAAACTGAGCTACCTTCCAAATTGTTTTTCTTATGATAGTTTTTTTTTTAATCTCACTGTCTATATAGGACTGGCTCATCACATCTGTAATCTCCTAATAGAAACTGTGGCTCTGTATTTGGAGGCAGATGATAAAAGCATCACTAAGACAGCAAATGCAATGCTTCTGTCCTTGCTTGATATTTTGCACTGCATGCTGATGTATACAGCAAACATTGTACGCCTGGCTTTACAGGTAATGGAATTTATTTTCTGATGATCACCATCCTAAATGATTCTTAGATCCCTTCCTGTTATCTTGATGATAAATTTCCTGCGATTCTAATTTTATTAAATTCTTAGTTTGATGGATGTAGGAGAGCATGTGTTTTCAATTACGTGTCACTGTTTCATGCAGTTACCTGGCTAGAATGGATGCCTCACTGTGACCTGAAAAGATCCTAGCCAACTGTTTCCTTTCTGGACTCAATAAATGGCTTAATTTGACATTCTCTTAAAGATAGTGCAAAGCACTTTCCTTCAGTTCTTTTTAAAAGAAAAGGTTTACTCCATAAAAATAAATTTTTATTATAAATCACCCATGATTGCTGTACTTGAAAAGCATACATAGTCTCTACACACGCGCTTACAGAAGTATTCTCTCTCTTACACTCTACAGGTCATCTTTTAATAGTAAGTTTCCATTTGAACACTGCGAAACATGGCATTGATAGGGCTCCATTTGCCAACCAAAACTTCTTCCTCTGTAAAAATGGAACACAGAACAATATTATTCAAAGAAGTTACAGATTCCTCTGAAGAAAAAAAAGTGTTCCCCTGAAGAAAAAGTGTTCACTTTTCTTTTTAGACATAATGTTAAGCTGGTGATATGTTTGCCTTGTTTTTAAATGATCTGCTAAATGCCTTCAGCTGTTCAACTGGAAGTGACTTCTATTTTGGCTAAAAACACCAGCACTTACTCTTCATGTAGAGTTTTTGATGTTGTTGGGATTATTCAGAGAAAAATGGAGAATCCTAATAGGCCCAGCATATCTCAAGGGCAGAGATTCAAAAGATTGCAACCAGGTTGTATTATATTTCAGGACAGGACTTTTTTATTCTGAAAAGATTCTGCTGTGTGTTTTTTTTCTTTTTTAGAAGATTTAATGTATAAAGTAAGTGTTAAAATCCCACCTTTGTTTTCACACAGATTTTCATAACCAGTTATATTATCAACCAGATATTGTGCTGAGTTTTTTTTTCTCCTAATTTTTGGAAGAAACATAATTTAGATTGATGATTTTGTCTTTTTTGAGTCCTCAAATACCATGTATAGGTAATGCTTTACAAGTTCTGTTATGAGTTGCTTGTCTATGAATCACTTTGCAAATCAAATTTTGTAGGCTAATTGCTAATGTTATATTACCAACACTTGTATAATCATACAGAGCTAAGTTCTGTACTTGTGCTCAGTATAACAGTGTTGAAGTCAATTGTACTGGAAAACATATATGAGGAGAGAGGATCTTGCACACGGATTGGAAATATTAGTGGAACTGACGATTTTAGTTAGATACAAACAAAATCTATACGTTCAAGGCCAAATTCTGTTTTGGCTTTACATGAATACATCAGTTAATTGATGTACTAAACTTCTAGTGAAAGTAATCTGCTCTGCTGTGGAAGACTAACAGGCAAGAACAACTGGAAAACTCTTGAGTTTTGCGCTCTGTCCTGTACCCCTGTAAAAAAATTTAAGTTTGCTTTGACAATATTTGTCACAGGGTGTCTGTATATTCTGTAGCTACCTCAGTACACATGCCCTATTGAGTGAAGGCCATTAGTTGGTGACTGCTATTTACTGTGTATCTACTGCATATTCCCCTATCCGTGTGTCACTGAATGCATGGTCGTAGTTGGTTATTCCATACACTGCAGTGATATCAAACATTCCTTGACCATTTTTATGGAGATCTTGTGGATAAGATACTTTCTAAAACAACACTGAAATGGAAACCCAAGTTCTCTCATGATATGCATTATTAAGGTTTAAGTTGACTTTAAATATAGTACCACATGAATCCTTCTTTTTAGATAAAATTTTTGTATGTAAAGAGATAACCTTATCCAGTTGGGTAGGCAACATGCAGTACTATTATGGTAACTATATCCAACTTTGTTCGAGAGTTTGCTCTCTGTGATCCAAATGGTCATGTTTTAATGGAAATGATAAAAAGATTCAGATTAATTTGCATGTATGTTTGGAGCCGCTTTGTGGTCTCCTGTTCCACAGATGATCCACGGTAGCTGAAAGTAATCTGTAATGCAGATTTGAGAAGTGGACTCTGTATTTAATGACTTAATATAGGTTTCTTTTAGTGATATCAGTCCTTCTCTTTTCAAAGGCACTACATATACGCTTTAAAGAAAACAGGCAGACATCCCTGATGGAGGATGTGTCTTCTCATCCAAGCTTTTATAAATTTTGTTGAGGTGATGGTGGTTTACTTCCTTTTCTTAATATAATCCCTCCTTTTTTTTGCCTTCTCTGTGCTGTGTGTTTTTGCCCATCTTGGGCTTCAACATTCCAGGTCATTTCAGTTAGTCTCAACAAAGGACATACCGATGCACATTACTACTTGGAGAAACTGCTTTTCACATCTCTTATTCCAGGGTTCTTCCCAGAATAACTTTCAGCTTTAGTTTCAACGGTGGAGCTTCAGCAGTAACATCTCCTGTGTCAGGGGACCTGCTCTTGTGCTCACTTAACCAAACAAAAATCCTTAGGTATTACACGTGAATGATGGGTTTCAGGATTGAGGTTCAAATGAGACACAATATGAAATGACTTTTTTAAGTATGTCTTCTAGATAAAATGTTTATTAAGCTGTCCTCTAGCAGCTGGACTGTAAAGGGTCATGGTCTAAAGCTGCTGTAAGATAATGAAGTTATATGAAAAATCTTTCAATCAGACTCTGTTTGTGTCACGGAGCAATGGACAGGTCATGATAGCACTGCCTAGGGTGGCAGCATATGTTGTGATGAGAGGCATGACAGTGGTCAGAGTTATAAGTATTAACAGGTCTTATCATAGATTTTGGTCCCTGACACGTCATTAGTTCCTATTTCAAAAATAGTTATAAAAAATGTAGTACTTTGTGAATATTTCAGGAAGCAAAGTGAGTAAGGAGGGTAGAAGCGGACATCAGTGCTCAGAATCTTTTCAGTCATCTTGATTTTCTTGTTTTCAGTTGCACTCAAAATTGTTCCTTACAAATGAATAAATAGGATGAACTGTTAATGTAAAAATAGACATGCCACATTGAAAGAGAATTCATATGCGTAAAGCAGAGTGTATAGACAGACGTTTATGGCTTTAGAGATGTCTTTTTGTATACAGTTCATAGCATTTTGCTGAAGAGATATCATGTAGGTCAGCATATTCGGTCTGTTCAGAATAGGCATGACAGCATGAGTCCCTTTTGCTTTGTGCTTATTGTTACAAACACGGTCAGAGTGTAACTGCTCATTGGTAGTCTAGGAAAGCTTAACTAAAAAAGACTGTGCAAGTCTCCTTCAAACTTCTATTCAAACTTCTGCTGCCTAATGGACCTTATTTGTTTCTCATAACTGAACGCTCACCAAGGCTGCTTTTTATCTCATCTTATTAAGGCACAGAAATCTGGCACAGGAGGGGACACGCAGGCTGCTGAAGACCTTCTGCTTATCAATAAACCCCTGACAGACCTAATTAGCCTGCTTATTCAACTGGTAAGAATTTGCTTGTTTTCCAAGTCTATTGGAATGTTGCTGAAGTTGGAGTTACTCATCTGCATTCAACATCTTGGAGCTCTGTTTGCTAGGTTTTCATTGTCTTTAAGTTTCTAGCGCAAAGCAGGGAAAGCAGGGACTTTTATAATTTGTAAGGAATTACAGTTTACAGTTATAGATTATAGTTTATAAGTGACGTCTGAGCAAATCTGTCACAAGCATAGAAATTGGGGGTCAAGCTGTCCAGATTCTCAGTTAGAATGCATAAGTGCAGTGAGGTTTTAGCCCTTTGAAAAGGACAAGTGATCACTGCATGGGGAAAGAATGATATTCAGAATTTGAAAACAAGTGCTGCTGCCATTCCAGAAGTCAGTGAACTGAGGTCAGTGAACTTACAATTAGTTTGCTTTTAGTGATGGCTTTTATCACAATTTTCTTGAGTTTGAGCCTTCTGAGTTTTTTTACTTAGGGATTTAGTTTCATTTTAACATGATGTTGAAGGGTTTAGGAGTTGGAGCAGTCTCTGGTGGCCTATAAACAGCTTTTGTGTCTGTCTGTTTAAAGTCAGTCTTTTCCAGGCTTTGCTAGATATCACAATGCTGCAGTGAAATCTCCAGAGAGAACTATACTGTGGCCCTGACATATGCCACTAGCTCAGCCTCCATCATATTGTGCAAGAGATTTGTCCTGGCTGTATGTACAGTAGCGTGTGCCAGAGAAATGCGTCTTGAACTGGACAGGGCTTTTAGAGGTCTACTATTCTGCCTCTGCCTTTCAGTCAACACAAAGGCAGAAAAGTGATATGTGAGAATTTCCTTGTGGCATCAAACTGTCATTTCCAGGTTGTTTTTCTTAAAGGCATTTCAGGTTCGCTGAAGAAGCCAGCATGCATTTCTCTGGAGTTTGAGTATGTTCTCATCCAGCCCACAACTTTTCGGAGATGTTTCTCATGGTTTCAGTATGGGTTTTCAGATATGAATGCCTATAGTCCTTTAGTTTTTACTACCTTTAGCACTATCTGTCATCTTTTATTTTGGGAAAGTATGTGATTCCTTTTTAAATTTTTTAAAATTTTTTATTATTTTCTATTTATTTGTATTAATCTTCTGCATTGCGCTTGTTGCAAGATCCTCCTTTGATGGATGTATTTTAATTAGCTATTGATAAAGGTTTTCTGGAAATATTCACTGAATGAGCTAAGACAGAGTAATTGAATTTCAACCATATAATATTTCATCTTTACAAATTGTTTTAGTTTATTTTCTATTAGTTTTTTAAATCACTATATTTAGAACAGGAAAATAGAAGCTAAACTTTACTTCGCTTACACAGCCTGGAAGTCTTTGCAAGTTTTTAATTAAAGTTAGCATATACTGATTAGATTCTAACTTGCCCCTGTATTTGAGAAACACAGCTGCAAATTACTGCTGTGTTTTGTTTTTTTATTTATTTATTCATATTTCTATATGTTGAAAATGCTTAGTGAAAAATCTGCTGATTTTAATGTGCAAGTAAAGAGGAAAGATCATTGGTGCATAATCTCTTTTTGTTTTCTAATTTTGTTAAATATTTTATAAAAGAGATTTTTCTCTTGTAAGGTGTATGTGATATTCTTTATATACTGTGTGTGCTGAATTGGATTTATGAAAGTTATTTCACCTAGCTCTTTGTTAAATTTTGTATCCTCTGCCCATTGCTGTATTAAACTTCCCGTTATAAGATTAGAAGAGTTTGAAAAATGGAATAAACATTTCAAAAGTTAGGAGCCATTTGTTTAAAAAACCAAAAAAGCTTACACTCTGATTTCAGTTTCATACCTTCTATCTGAATATCTGTCTCTTCTTCTTCTATAGATCGATTTCAAATTAAAAAAAACTTTCAATTTCTTTTCATAGATTACAATAACTCATATGAAGTTAGTCTGTAGAATTAGCATTTTCAATATAATAAGGAAAAAGTCCTGTGAACCATCTTATGAGAATATAAAAATGAAATTCAGAGCCCCTAAATTTCAAACATTAAATAGCTGAAATAACATTTCTTGAATCCGTATGAGATTCTTCAGGAGGTTTAGTGTGATTTTTTGTGAGTGCAGCTAACAGAGGCAGTGAACAGATGTGGCAGTTTGCTCAGCAGTTCGCGCAGAAGGGCGCCAGAAGGCAAAGAAGGCACCTTTGTGTCTCGTAGTAGCGTGTGCTTCGTCAGGTATGGTCGTGCACGCTGCAGAGCACATTCCCCAGTGGCTGCTGGAGTTGCTACATCACCTGCATCTGAAACTTCAACCTAGATAGACCCTCTGGCAGCAGATGCAGCTCTACAGGTGTCAGGCTGCAGGGAGTGCCTAGGGCCTCTCTGCGAGGCCTGGGCTGACAGTCAGCTCTCCTGCGCGAGGTGTGCTGTGGTTGACCAGTTGCGTCACCAGGTAAAGGAGTTACGAGAGGAAGTCAGTAGGCTGTGTAGCATCTGAGAAGGCAAGCAAGAGATAGACAGGGTATTCTTGGAGACTGTGCAGCTCCAGAAGTCCCCACCCCCCCACTGCAATGGAGTGGCTGGAGGGCTCTGTACTATGTGAAACGGTACATCATAACACTGTTGAAGAAGTCTGGAAACTGATCACTTCTCATACAAGGAGAAAGGCTCTTCCTTTTTCTCAAGACTTGCCTTTGAGGAACAAGTTTAGCTCCCTCCAGGCTGATGAGGAGAGGCTGGGCATGGCTTCAAGGGAAGCTACTGGCCTGGCAGACCCTGTGCCATGCAGGAACACTTGGAAGAAGCAGCGAGTAGTTGTTGTGGGTGACTCCCGGCTACAGGGGACAGAGGCACCTATCTGCCGACCTGACCTCTTGTCTAGAGAGGTTTGCTGCCTGCCAGGGGCTTGAATAAGAGATGTCATGGAAAGACTGCCAAGGCTTGTCCATGCATCGGACTACTACCCTCTGATGCTCTTCAGTGTGGGCACTAATGACACAAAGGGCAAATTGGATACTATCAAATAGGATTTCAGAGCTCTGGGGATGGTGGTTAAGGGTCTGGGAGACAAGGTCATTTTCTCCTCAATCCTGCCTGTGAGGGGGAAGGATGGGAGGAGGAGAAGACGGGTTTTCCAAGCTAACAACTGGCTGCGCCGCTGGTGTTGGCAACAGGGCTTTGGTTTCTGTGACCATGGGACCCTGTTTGAAGATCGACAGCTGATGGGGAGCGATGGGATCCCCCTTACCAAGTAGGGCATGCGCACCTTTCCCAACAGGTTGGCCAGCCTGGTAAGGAGGGCTTTAAACGAGGAAAGATGAGGGAAGGGGAATGTTACAGAGACAGGGTAGTCAGTAAAACACCGCTCAAGTCAGGATGCCTCCAGCGGGTGCATGCAAGCAGGGGAGTCAGCACAGGACATGGCT